AGAATTTGCCTACTTTGTACAGTTTTTGATTACCAGGCAGGTCTTCATTAAAAAAGCGTATTATCTTTCAAGACGTCTTATTTCATTTTGCATGTTTGTAAATACATATTCTGGCAGTACAATGAAAGCTAACTAAACAAACTGAGGTTGGTGATTTGTTTTTTTTTTTTAAATAGCTTTAGTTCTTCTAGTGGCACTTCTTAAAATCTAAGCATATGACTATGAAATTAGATTAAATTGCCTATTTTTGTTTAAAGGCAATAGGAAACTTTCTGAATGTGTCAGATGGAAACCCATCTGCCTGTCTTAAACACCTGTCAAAATATCTTTTTGTATTCAGGTCTTTAAACTTTTTTGATTTGCTAATCCCTTACAAGAATTGAAATGGCTCCCTCTTATGGCAAAAGAAAAGCAGCAGATATTTCTTTGAACAGATGCATTCTGTAGCCATAAAAATCTGATCCAGATTTGAATCAGACACTTGACCCCCACCCCTCCTCCAAGATTCAAGGGGTTTGGGTTTGGCAATGGCAGAGGGACAGGTCACACTCCCTATACCTATGTGCAGAGGGAAGTTCCCTGTTTGGTTCTGGAGGAACAGCCGTGTTAGTCTGTATTCGCAAAAAGAAAAGGAGTACTTGTGGCACCTTAGAGACTAACCAATTTATTTGAGCATGAGCTTTCGTGAGCCACAGCTCACTTCATCAGATGTATACCGTGGAAACTACAGCAGACTTTATATACACACAGAGAATATGAAACAATACCTCCTCCCACCCCACTGTCCTGCTGGTAATAGCTTATCTAAAGTGATCAACAGGTGGGCCATTTCCAGCACAAATCCAGGTTTTCTCACCCTCCACCCCCCCCACACAAATTCACTCTCCTGCTGGTGCTAGCCCATCCAAAGTGACAACTCTTTACATAATCAAGTCGGGCTATTTCCTGCATAGATCCAGGTTTTCTCACATCCCCCCCACCCCCATACACACACAAACTCACTCTCCTGCTGGTAATAGCTCATCTAAACTGACCACTCTCCAAGTTTAAATCCAAGTTAAACCAGAACATCTGGGGGGGGGGGGGTAGGAAAAAACAAGAGGAAACAGGCTACCTTGCATAATGACTTAGCCACTCCCAGTCTCTATTTAAGCCTAAATTAATAGTATCCAATTTGCAAATGAATTCCAATTCAGCAGTTTCTCGCTGGAGTCTGGATTTGAAGTTTTTTTGTTTTAAGATAGCGACCTTCATGTCTGTGATTGCGTGACCAGAGAGATTGAAGTGTTCTCCGACTGGTTTATGAATGTTATAATTCTTGACATCTGATTTGTGTCCATTTATTCTTTTACGTAGAGACTGTCCAGTTTGACCAATGTACATGGCAGAGGGGCATTGCTGGCACATGATGGCATATATCACATTGGTGGATGTGCAGGTGAACGAGCCTCTGATAGTGTGGCTGATGTTATTAGGCCCTGTGATGGTGTCCCCTGACAACGGGCTTTGTTGCAAGGATAAGTTCCTGGAGGAACAGAACCACTAACCCAGGAACTTATCCTTGCAACAAAGCCTGTTTCCTCTTGTTTTTTCCTACCCCCCCCCCCCCCAGATGTTCTGGTTTAACTTGGATTTAAACTTGGAGAGTGGTCAGTTTAGATGAGCTAGCACCAGCAGGAGAGTGAATTTGTGTGGGGGGGTGGAGGGTGAGAAAACCTGGATTTGTGCTGGAAATGGCCCACCTGTTGATCACTTTAGATAAGCTATTACCAGCAGGACAGTGGGGTGGGAGGAGGTATTGTTTCATATTCTCTGTGTGTATATAAAGTCTGCTGTAGTTTCCACGGTATACATCTGATGAAGTGAGCTGTGGCTCACGAAAGCTCATGCTCAAATAAATTGGTTAGTCTCTAAGGTGCCACAAGTACTCCTTTTCTGTTTGGTTCTGTCACTCCTCACATGGAATGTGGGAAGGTTATACTCCTCCATGTCCCTGTCCCCCATGGTCCTCAGTAAGTCTGGAGGCCTGCATGTTGGGAGGAAGAGGTATAGAGGATACATATAACAAAATCCAAACACTTTTGGTAAATCCACCCAAGAGCTAATGAAGCTCTGGTTTTACTACATCTTACAGAGCCCTCTCCACATTGGGAGCCCCCTCTTAAATGTGTGTCCCTGGGACAGCCACCAGTACAGAACTTCCTAACTACAATTGAGTTGCTATGTCAGGGAGCCATGCGATTTGGTGCTTCTTCCAAGGTTGCACAAACTCAAACATCATGGCAGAAATGTTAAGAGGAAACTTGGATCATCCACCACCTCAGATTTCTTTCACCAAGTCAAAGATCCTATTGGGATCCGGGAAGTGCTAAAGGATTCTCTTCCCCTCCTCCCCCCGCCCCCTCCAGCCTAAGAGAGGGGATCTACAGGACCTGGAAACCAAATAAGTATGGGGGACAACAAATGAAATAGCATGCAGATACACAATTCAGATCAGAGTTTGGATTACGACCCCAGCTCTACCAAATTCAGTAACAGTCATAGGCAAAGGTTTGATTCAGGCCCTTCTCAACTCTTGAAAGGTTTTTCCAGAGAACCTGCTGTAATGATCTTTAGGGAAAGACACAATTGTAGCATAGAATTGTGTTAACTCGCATCCAAAGTTATCATATCCCAATGCTGTATACTATGCAAATTCTCTTTTTTTTTTTTTCTTTCCCCCTTCTTGGCACATATCACTGATCTCGGCCAAGATGATACAGTGAAAAGAAACAGATTCCTAGTGAAATGTTTTTAATAAGAATGACTTCCTAAAGGCTATTTTGAACAATGTAGTAGTGTTTTTAATAAGAATGACTTCCTAAAGGCTATTTTGAACAATGTAGTAGTTTCTAATAGAAACTCCTCCTTTTGGTTTCAGTATCTTCACATCTCCTGTGAATGTGAATTTTCCCTCACTGGAATATGTTACTGTACTGATACTTAATAGTAAAAGCTCCAGACTGGCCAGGCAGAGTAGGATTCAGTACAAAGGTTTTCAGTATTGCTATAAGATCAATTATCTTGCCAATAATCATTTCTGAATCAGTATAAATAAAAAAATACAAATTTCATTCCCTTAAATCTTGCACTACATCATCAGATTATTATGAATGGCATTTTCTTAGATTGTGAATATTCTTTAACTGTACTTGCATTTAAAATGTTTTTGTGATTTATCCTCATGAACAAGATATAATAATTAGACTTTACAACTGATTCATCTTTAATAATCTCTCCTCAGCCTCAGTGAGTCAAAGCCATAATCGCATTGTTACTCCTCCCCAGATTCTATCCATATAAAATTGATATTCTTCTTTGAATCTGGGATTCTAGAGATGAGAGCATTTTGATTGATATAGATGGCACTAACAGTTGTTGCTGACTGGCTGCCCCAAAAACAAGCTGCTTTCCAGAGATGGTGCTGAATGATCATTCAGTACAGCCCATTCAATCTATTTTAGATACTTTTGGTACTTCTCACAATGTCTTTAATGTATTTATCCTGGCCTCAGTCCTGTGAGGTAGGGGAAGTACCATCTCTAGTTGACAGATGGGAAGCTGAGGCACAGAGACCCTAGGTGACTCACCTAAAGTGACTAGTCATACAAGAGGCCTTTAGCAAAGCAGGGAAATGAACCTGAATCTCCCAAGTTCTAGACCAGACTTTAAGAACATAAGAACGGCCATACTGGGTCAGACCAAAGGTCCATCTCGCCTAGTATCCTGTCTTCCGACAGTGGCCAATGCCAGGTGCTTCAGAGGGAAGGCTGGTCTTTGTCTCACACTCTCCTCCTGTTGTCATACACTGATTGGAAAATGTAATGCATAGGAATTGTACTCCTCTACTTTTTTTTTTTCTTTATAATGAGGTAGTGTGCTACAGTGGACATGGGCCTGGCCTTGGAGGCAGGAGATGGGGATTCTATTCCTGGCTCAGCCACTGAACACTTTGGGTAAATCCACCCAAGAGCTAATGAAGTTCTGGTTCTACTACATCTCCTTGAGCAATTCACTTCATTTCCCCACTTAGACGATGGGGACAATGACCCTATGGAAAGCATTTTGAGCCTTAACACTTATATGGCACATATATATCTTATATATGCAAATACACAAGACTTAAGGCCCAAGTGCTTTTTTAACTACCCTAACAAAAACAGAGGCAATAGCTAACCAAAGAGGGCTTTTGTGAAGACCAAAACTTTGAATTTTCTGATATCTGTGGAACTAAAATCTCTCAGCTTTCTAAAATGTATTTTCCTACCATATTATAATGTATTGGACCGCTTGTGGGCCGTGCCTAAGCTATCCACGGCACAACTCTCAGGAAGGTGCAAAGATGGCCACGTTTTCCTAAAACTAGCCATGCAGAATTGGCGGTGGTTCAGAGAAGTGCAGTGAGCACGTGCTAATGTAAATAATCCCACTCTTTCCCTTTGAAAGTGGAATAAGAGGGGACATGACAAAAGTACATCCCGTGACTGGCACATGGGTCCCTGACTTGTAACATGGGGATGGGGGAGGCGCAGCTGAATTAAATGATGGGTGAAAAATCAAAACGGGCAAAGAAATAATGTTTTCAAACCTGTACCTGGGGTGTGGGACTCCCAGCCCCCTAAAGCTGCAGAGGGGGAAGGGAGCGCGAGCGACAGCCCAGCCCAGCCTCTGCCCCGAACCCCGCAGCGCCGCCTGGCGGAGACCAAAGGCAGGGCCGGGCTTCCCCGGACTCGGCAAGGCAGGGGGCGGTGCCCTGGCGCTCCGACGCGCTGACGTCACCCGGCCATGACCTCGGAAGTGCCCGGCGGGGGCGGGGCGGGATGCTGCCGGCAGAAACATGACAGGAGGCGGGAAGCGGAGACCCCGCGCCGGGGAGCAGGTACCGGCCGAGGGCGGCGAGCTGCCGCAGCCCTGCCCCGGGGCGGCTGGGAGCCGGGCCTGCTCCGCCCGGGGGGGGGCGGCCCGCGGGCGCCGCGCTGTGAGGAGGCGGCGGCGGTCACTGGCCGGCCACAGACCGGGCTCCTGGGTCCTCGCCCTGGCGCGGTCGCTGCTCAGAGCAGGTCTCGGTGACGCGCCCCGCCGGCGCCTTGTCACGGGCCGCGCTGCCGCCGGCGGGGCGGGGAAAAGGGGCGCGGCGGCGGCGGCGGCGGCGGGGCTGGCGAACCGGCCAGGCCTCCGCTCCAGGCTGGGCCAGGCGGGGACCCCCCCCCCCGCCTGCTGGCCTCTTCGCCAAGGGCTGGCCGGTGTTCCCGGTGTCTCCCGCGCCCCTCGGGGGCAGGCGCCCTGCCAGGGGCTGTGACGAGCTTACAGAGGCGCGACGAGAAGTTCCCGGAGTCCATTAGACCTATTCCTGCAGGTCCTCTGCAGCCATTACCGTCAGCGTGGCCTTGACCCCCTCTGTATGTGCCTGGAAACGTGCACCCAACCTAAAACCTGTCACATGCAGCATGTGACCTTCCGTGCCAGTGCGTAAAACTCCTTTTTAATCCCCAAAAAGCGCCCTCTCCTGCGCTCCAGATTCGTAGGACCTAAGCCCTTTGTTCCAGTACAACAGAGGGTCTTTCCTGAATTAACATGAAAATGTGCATTTCGTTGCTGTTTACTTGCAGTGTGAGAAAACTAAAGAAGTCAAGAAGAGACGGTCCAACCAGGCAGATGTTCCTGATCAGCTGCGTCAAGAAGTAGAAAGTTGCTATCAGCTCAGGATGCCTGAAGACTTTTATCAGTTCTGGAAGTTCTGTGAGGAGCTGAAGCCTGACAAGCCAAGTGGTGGGTTCTAAAAAGAAGAGGACTTCTGCATGCTGTGTGGCTTAACTTGAGTGTTTTCAAAAGCAATCTGAAGGCAGTTTTTAGTGGCAAAGGCAAGTGGGAAGCTTTTAGAATGATTTTTCCAGTTTAGAGACAGGCTAGTGTTTCCCCAACTTTGGTATAACTTTAGGCTGGACAAAAAGTGTATCACAGACTACAAAATACATCTCTGTTTAAAGGTGTGTGTGTGTGCATGTGTTTGTCCGCTTCAATTTGTGGATAGTTAAGTAATGGACCTGTTTGAGAGTGAAGAAGTTAAGATTAATTCAGGAACACTCTTAAGAATCTGACCTTGAAAATAATGAGTAAATTTATTTTTAATGTTTAGGATTTACTTGTTAGCTTTCAGACATGCCGCTTTTTCATAAATATTTTTTCAGGTCAGCTAGGGGATGTTTGGGGCATAGGGAAAAATTTGTCTCCTAAAACAGACTGTTTCTAGATGTTTTGGTCTAGAAACAACAGCTGAAAATAAATCAGCAGAGATTGCTAGAGGCGGATAAAAACAGGTTATTTTTTGAAAAAAAAAAAAGTAGTAGGGCAATATATCTTTGTGGAAGGAAAGCTGTCTGAATCGGAGTACTAAAAGCTTTAAATGCACAGGTTAGAGTACCTTGTATGAGGGAGAATAAACATGAGTTTGAGGTCTGATTGTTTGGCTTTTAGACTTGCTGTGTTATACCTAAGCAATGTGAATTTGAAATGTGCTATAATAAGCACAGCTTCAGTTTTGTTCATGGCAACTTTCCATTTAGAAATGGAAATGCTTTATGGCTGAGATCTTGCTTTCTGCATGCACAAGAAAATGTCAGACAGTTGATCATTTTGTTTTTCAGAAGCACTCATATCAAGTATTGGCCTTCAGCTAGTTGGACCATATGATATTCTTGCTGGAAAACACAAAAAAACAAAATCAGCAGATCTGAACTTCAACCTTCACTGGAGGTTTTTTTATGACCCTCCTGAATTTCAGACTATAATTACCGGGGATAGCAAAACTCAGTATCACATGGGATATTTCAGGTATTACATTTTATATATGGTCCTCCTATAATAAATGTGTGTATCTTTTTCTCCATTTCCATTGATGTGTGTAGTGTAAGAACTCTGCGCTGTTGTCAAATGATAGAACCTCTACTTCTTACCCCCTTCCATCAGATAGATGACACGTTAGTTGTCATTTTTAGTAGTTAACATTATAGGGCAAAATGTATTGAAAGGACTGGTGATGTGTGTTTAAAAGACTATCTAAAACCCAAACAAACCCTGTTTTAATTGTAATGATGTTTTTAATTATTGCCATGATGTTCTGGAGCAAATGGTTATCTGCTGCTGGGGTAGGATAACTGGGAAGAGAACTGTGTGTTTTTGTTTTTCCTTTTCTATACTTGAGTGTACCCGGCAACACTGGAAATATATGCTTCTGCCTTATTTCTTCTGCACAGAGCCACTTCTTGTCAAGATCTCTCTGCTGCTCCAGCTGAAGAAGTGGCTCTGGTATAATTATTCTGTATTCTAATACTTAAAGTTGTGCATGTGAATCTAGTGTGATTCAATACTGAATTTACGCTCTTGGTGGTCTCTGCTGTATGCAGTGACTAATTAATCGTTATTCTAAGTGGCATTCTCTGAGAGGCAAAGATTGGAGACTGCAGTGTGCGTGTGTCTGGTGGGGGGTCGGGGGGAGGCTACAAAGGCGCATGGAAGTAAGGGGAGGTTCACATTGTTGTTGCCTGTGCTTTTAACTGTCCAGTGATAAACGTAAGACTTCAGGCTCCAGTACTCCATTCAGCATCTCTTGTGTATGCTAACTTCACTTTAAAGAGAGAAACCCTAGTGTCTGTATACATTTTGTTTTATAGGGATGTGCCAGACGAACTTCCAGCGTGGGTTGGTGCAAATGAAGCAAAGAAAAGCTGTGTAATTTCTCAAATTGGTGACAATGTATTTGCTGCAGTCAAGTAAGGTTTACAACTTCTGTTTCATAACTATATTCAATTAGTTTTCCTCTAAGCTACAAAAAAGTACTAATGTGAAATACCTTTACTTCTGTTCTTCTGTGTCTCTCACACACACCCACCCACCTCTGTAGGTTTTTGACTTTGAAAATAATACTAAAGGAAACATCTACAAAGATGGGTATCTTTCATAAGATTACTAGACCCAGAGTAAATTGGCTGATCAGCCTGGAACTTTGTGGTTGTACTAAAATAGCTGGGTTGCTTTTCTTTATAAAATCCAGTGTGTTGTTTCTGTAGGAACAGAGCATTTCAGTAGAAAATGATGATAGAGGCATTAACAGAAGCCATGATTTAAAAAAAAAAATAAAAATTGCTTGTCAGAATGACTGAAGGTTGCATTTTGAAGTGAACTTTTGAAGGGGGATGAAACACAATAGTGAAAGGAATTCATATGCAGAACATTTTACTAAACCAAGAGTGTCTATCTCTACCTTATGTAATGGCAGGTTCATTGAAAATAGCCTTCTCCTGCTTTCAGCTAATAAAGTCCCATAGCTCAAGTTGTAGAAGTCTGTGCTGCAGTGCTGAACATCCACGGTTCAAACCTTAGTGGCAATACATAATGGCAGAATTTTTACAGTTGTGCATGACAGAATTTGCATTTCATTTCCTTTTAAAGGAAGCTACATTCAAAAACTACATTTAAAAAAAAAATTCTTTTAGGTTGCACAATCAAGCACTCAGGGGAGATAATGCCAAAATGAAGGTTGCATTCACAACCTTAATTTGGCCCCTTTGTGAGCATCATGATACTGTCTCTACAGGATCATGTATTATCTATATTTTCCCCCCACACACATTCTGCCTTACTCAGTGCGCAGGATAACTGGAGCTCAGGGACTGAATCTTGGTTATGTACTGAATGAGGCTGTCTGTCTGTCTCCTGCCTTATTTACTCTAGAAGTTAGAACAAGTACAGAGGATGAGGCAGAGGACTGCAGGAAGAGACAGGATAGTTTTGTTGGATGAGCAAAATGAGAGCTCGGTGGCTTTTGGCTGCAGTGTGTTAACTTTTGAATGCCACATCTGATCAATTTTGAAATTTCAGAATTGAATGTTTTATGTATTGATGAGCAGAACCCTACTAAAGTGGGAAGCTGAAAGGGAAAATGGGGGACATGTGGTGCCCTGACATCTGGTTATCAGACCCAGCAGCTTCAACCACCTCTGTGTCTATAGATAAAACAAACCAGTTGGTGGCATCCATTAACACCTTCCAGCATAAGAATACCCTATCTCAGCTTGCCTTTCCTGCCAATGCAGTTATAAAATAGTGACACCTTGAATGACTTGTCTGTCGGATAAAGAATAATAATGGCGGTGGGAGGGGAATGGATGGTGCAGCCAGAACCTCTGGCATGGAGGGAGAAAGGGGACACAGCCCCTAGCATGTGGCAGAGAGGGGAATGGGGAAGGACCCTGGTATGAGGGGAGGAGGAGAACGGGGAACAGAACTGCTGGCATGTGGGGAAGGATGAGGGGGTTCAGGGAGGAGGGAGATGGGAGTTGGAGGAACGGAAGGAGCCTCTGGGGTGTACGATGTGCTCAGCCTCCAGAAGCAACAAAAGCTGCCACTCTCTAGTGGCTAAGGCAGGTGAATGCAGTATAAGAAAATTCAATTCTGGCCTTGCATCTGCCATCAACTTCATATGATGAGCAAGTCACTTAAATAAAAATTTTGTCAGGTTACACACCAGTTGTGTGTTCTTAATTTTTCTGGATAATCAGCCTGAGACACTTAGGGCCTCATTTTCAGGAGCACTCACAGCTGAAAGGGCTGTCAACACCTCTGGGAGAGAAGGAAAAAAAGTTAATGTTTGTGAGGCACTCTGAGCCAGCAGTGATAAGCATCGTAGAAAAGACCAGAAGAAAATGAATAACTTTGCATTCAAGTCAGGGTTTGGATGATGTGTAGCAAATAAGGCATGAAGCCACTCATTGAATGATTACAATTAAAAAAAATCACAGCTGTTTCAGTTGATATGCACTCTCTGGCCCCTATGCACCTTATAGGAGCAGGTCCTGTAGAAATAGTATGAGTATATAACTTGAAGACTGCATCATAATACATGTGCTTAAGACAATACAGGCAACCTTAATTCTAGCATTTCCTAATTTTTGAGTGCTTGACTGTAACCTAATAGCTTGAACATGCTATCTTTTGTATGAAATGGTCATACACATTCACAATCTTTGATTAGCCAATTTTTTGGTTAAGAGATTAGGGGACTAGAATATATATTATATATATAAATTTAAAAAAACCCAAAACTTTCTAGATCCTGAGAAAGGTGACCTGCTGTGTAATGAGTCTTCCTTTGTGTTTCAGATTGTTTTTGTCAAAAAAGCTTAAGGAAGTGACAGATAAAAAGAAAAGTGGTATTTTGAAAGACCTAGATGAAAACCTTACAAGAACAGCAAAAGAATTGGGTTATTCGCTGGAACAGAAAACCATGAAGATGAAACAAAGAGATAAGAAAGTACGGGTTTTGTGTTTTTTTTTTTTTTTTCCTGACCAACTAGATAGAAAAGTTGCTCTCCCTAAGCTAATGCACTTTAGCTTTTTCTGTCCTATTCAGCTAAGAAACTTAGATGAAGCAATCTTCTGAGCGTTGACCAAGGGGTGACATTGTCTAAAAAGTCTGAAGAGTTGCTCCCCTCCTTCCTTCCTGTGCCTGAAAGGTGGAGTCTGTTGGCTGCAGTTTTCAACTGCACAGGAAATCAACTCAATCCACTTCTAATACTACATATAGTGGCTCACTGCGACCAGATTGCCAAAACAGCATGTAAATGTCCTCTTGTGGACATTATATGATGTCACCATTATTCTAAAATGGTTGTTTGGTATACACTTATTTTGGAGGAGAGCTCTAGCGTGCCTGTATGGCTGGGTTGGACACGGAGTCTTAACTCAGCAATTTATTAATCATAGATGGCAACCGTTCCTATGAAATGTTATGCCATGTAATGTTGCAGGAAACCTCTCTGTATCATGGTGGCTGCTTACTGCCTCCTAAGCACCCCTTCCTGGCCAAGTGTGCTACTGCAGCCCCCACCCCAGTTTTCTCCTTCACAGTGTGCCTTAAACTCTACACAGTCCAAAGATTAAACTGGATCCCAACTGGGGAATGTTTTATTCAGTACACACTGGCCCTTCAGGCCGCAACTCCAGTTCAGTGTGTCTCTCCCCTTAGTTAAGGGGGTTCCCAGCCTGTTTCCTAGAGCTGGCTCACAGTTCTCTGCAGGAGCCAGTCTTGCTCTCTGCAGCTCCTTCAGCCAGCTACAGGCTTTTTCAGGCTTCTGTCTTCTGAGCATCCCCCAGCTCACTGTCATGCCTGTTGGCTCCAGCAGTCTCAGCTACTTCTCTCACGCACATACTTCCTGCTGCATTTTAAGTTGAATATCATCCGATTCCTCTCAGATGAGCCTCCATCTTTAGAGCCCAGCAAATCTGCGAATATCACTTTATCTCTGGGGACCATGTTTGTGGTTTGGATGCGGATACAAATTTTGTATCCGCGCAGGGCTCTACTCGTGTTGTAATCAGCACTGGTTTAACCCCAGGCTCTCCAGCCCAAAGGCAAGCCAGCCTGTTACATATTCCAACCTCCACACTACCAAAAAACGAAACCCAAATGCCCTGTGCAATCTTCCACTAGCTCAAGGAGGAGTAGTGCTGAGGTCATTCTTCATCTGATGGCTACTGGATGGCAGGATCTGACCCATCTAAGTAAGCCAGCCAGCTGTCCACCTTTTTTTGTTCTTTAAGAGCTATATAAACTTCCAGTGTTGGGAAATAATGCTTTTTCCTTTTGAAAAGAGTACCTGCTGCTTAAACAGCCATGTGTAGCTCCTCTGTCAGTGAAGGGAGGATCATATTACAATTAAATTTACCATTTTTAAAAGCAAACATTAACTTTTAATGGGCATTTACTGAAGGTTGCACAAAGGAAATAAATTGTAGAATTACTGAAGTACAACATAGCAAATTTTAATGTGTATATCTTCAGTAGGCCAATGAAGAAAAGCTACTAACATGATTAGAGAACTTCTAGCTGGATACCTGCTATGGGGGAAGGGATAATCTCAAATTTGATCAATTTTCCAAGTACTACCGATTAAGTAATATAAAACTATGTCTGTTACATGTGTAAACTTGAAATAAAAGTATATCCACCAGTGTCTTAACTGAAAAAAAGAAAATAGGTGAACACTATAAAGCCACTGGTGAGCACTCCCTCAGCTTTTAGACAAAGTCAAATCAACCTCCATTATTTAACAAGGAAACTCTTAGACCTCTCTTTATTTTGAGGCAAAGTACCTTAAGGCACATGCTCTGAGAATTCTTGGAAAAGTCAGTTTGACTAAGGGTGTTTAGGGGCAGAAATTAAATATAGATTAAAAACTCTTAATAGAATCATAGAATATCAGGGTTGGAAGGGACCTCAGGAGGTCATCTCGTCCAGTCCCCTGCTCAAAGCAGGACCAATCCCCAACTAAATCATCCCAGCCAGGGCTTTGTCAAGCCTGACCTTTAAAAATATCTAAGGAAGGAGATTCCACCCCCTCCTTAGGTTATGCATTCCAGTGCTTCACCACCCTCCTAGTGAAAAAGTTTTTCCTAATATCCAACCTAAACCTCCCCCACTGCAACTTGAGACCATTACTCCTTGTTCTGTCATCTGCTACCACAGTCTAGATCCATCCTCTTTGGAACCCCCTTTCAGGTAGTTGAAAGCAGCTATCAAATCCCCCCTCATTCTTCTCTTCTGCAGACTAAAAAATCCCAGTTCCCTCAGCCTCTCCTCGTTAAGTCATGTGCTCCAGCCCCCTAATCATTTTTGTTACCCTCTGCTGGACGCTTTCCAATTTTTCCATATCCTTCTTATAGTGTGGGGCCCAAAACTGGACACAGTACTCCAGATGAGGCCTCACCAATGTCGAATAAAGGGCAACGATCACGTCCCTTGATCTGCTGGCAATGCCCCTACTTATACAGCCCAAAATGCTGTTAGCCTTCTTGGCAACAAGGGCACACTGTTGACTCATATCCAGCTTCTTGTCCACTGTAGCACCTAGGTTCTTTTCTGCAGAACTGCTGCCTAGCCACTTGGTCCCTAGTCTGTAGCAGTGCATGGGATTCTTCCATCCTAAGTGCAGGACTCTGCACTTGTCCTTGTTGAACCTCATCAACAGATTTCTTTTGGCCCAATCCTCTAATTTGTCTAGGTCCCTCTGTATCCTATCCCTACCCTCCAGTGTATCTACCATTCCTTCCAGTTTAGTGTCATCTGCAAACTTGCTGAGGGTGCAGTCCACGCCATCCTCCAGATCATTAATGAAGATATTGAATAAAACCAGCCCCAGGACTGACCCTTGGGCACTCCACGTGATACCAGCTGCCAACTAGACATGCAGTCATTGATCACTACCCTTTGAAGCCGAAGATCTAGCCAGCTTTCTGTCCACCTTATAATCCATTCATCCAGCCCATACTACTTTAACTTGCCTGCAAGAATGCTGTGGGAGACTGTATCAAAAGCTTTGCTAAAGTCATGGAATAACACGTCCACTGCTTTCCCGTCATCAACAGAGCCAGTTATCTCGTCATAGAAGGCAATTAGATTAGTCAGGCATGACTTGCCCTTGGTGAATTCCCGCTGACTGTTCCTGATCACTTTCCTCTTCTCTAAGTGCTTCAGAATTGATTCCTTGAGGACCTGCTCCATGATTTTTCCAGGAACTGAGGTGAGGCTGACTGACCAAGCTGGAAACAAGCTAAAATTAGCATACTTGATGGTTCAGTTTTTGGACCAAGGGGATGGTAGTAATTTGAGGATACTGCAAGTGAGATTTCAAGTTTGCAAAAGACATGACAAGTGGAGGCAGACCAAATGAGAAACAATGCATGTGGATTTTGATTATTTAGACTGAGTCAGCACGGTATGGCAATACAAATGTGGAATGATGTAAAACAGCCTGGTTTCTTGCTGTAGTCTAATGGAGACAAGTTCTAAATTGAGCTAAAGAGCACACTGAAAAGAAAAGGCGAGGGAGTCAGGATGTTTGTACATGGTGATGGGGTAACTGATATTCACCCATAGCTGCAGGAAAAAGGGGCAAATTGAATACGTTGTACTTAGGAGAGAACATACAAAACAAGTGGTATTACCTAAAGAACTAGCTAAGCCTTCTGGAATAGCATGAAGTTACTGGTCTCTCTTTACCCAGGGTCAGATATTAATCCCTTAAAGCAGTGGTTCTCAAACTTTTTTTTTTCATGGACCACTTGCAAATTGCTGAGGGTCTTGGTGGACCACTTAATGATCTTTCCAAATGTTGTTTGTACCACTAGCTAACTATTGTAAAGTGCTTTGGATAAAAGCACTATATTAAAAAAACTCTTAATAATCGTTTTTTTGTTCTACAAATAAAAGCACACAACTCATATTTTAATATCGGTAGTCTTACCTTTCTAATGCGATGGATGTGCTCTCTCTCCTCTGCCACAGCAGCCCCCGAGCTGGATCTGGGAAAGGAGGGGCGGGTGTCTCTCCCTCTCTCCCCCACCGCAGCAGCCCCTGAGCTGGAGCTGGGAAAGGGGTGGGGGGCTCTCCCCGGCCGCAGCAGCCCCCAAGCTGGAGCTGGGAAGGGGAGCCGTCTCTCCCCAGCAGCTGCAGCCCTGGAGCTGGGGAAAGTCACCTCTTTCTCTGGCCACTGCAGCCCTGCATGTCCCAAATTCCTGCCCCCTCTCACCCACCCTCTTCTCACCCCACTGCCCCCTCCAACCTACCCCTTATTTTCCCCCCCAGTTTACCACCTCACCTTACATGTGTGTCTTTTCTCCAGGGTCCAGGCACCTACGTAGTGGAGCCACGCCTGCATGGCTGCACTAATTAGGTGGATGGCCCTTCATTGTTGCATGTGCGGGCACCCAGGTGCGCACCTTAGAGGGAACTATCCGTGAACCACCTGAATGGAGCTCAGTTTGAGAACCTCTGCTTTAGAGCATAGAAGTGAACAAGAATACCACTGTCTATAGAGATTCAAGTATTAAGGTTTTTTATCTTCCAAATGATAGGCTTCATAAAGTCAGTACTACTCAGTCTTTCTACTGAAACACCCCTCCTCACCTAATAAAGGTTTAAGAGCTCGGGGGCTGCTGCGGCGGGGGAGAGAGGGCACATCCATCACATTAGAAAGGTAAGACTACTGATATTAAAAGTAAATTGAGATACTGGAAAAAACTTAAATATGATATAGCGCCATACATAGACCTGGTGGTCATTTTTCTTTTAACAAAACTGAAAATGCCTATAAGGGGATAAGAGCCAGTAGCAGTGTGGCTTGTTATATAGTCTGTCAAAAGGAACAAATTGTTGTAGCATGCATTTAGATTAGCATTGCCTTCCATCAGTGATTGTAAGAATCCCTCTCTGCTCCCCCCACCCTAGTCCAACAATTAGAATACCCCATCACTGTGGGGTTTACAGTTAGTTGGGTAGATGTAAAATGCTGCAGGTGTTATAATTTATTAAATTTGGAGGCAAGAGTGAACACTGTGTGACTTAGTACCTGGAAATTCAGGCTCCGGGACCCAAAGTTACAGTTTGTTATATTCTGGTTGACCATTGGGGGTGATGTGCCAATGGTATAGTGGGAGCAAGGTGGTATCTTATGTAGCTGATGTTACTGTGTTCATCCCGTGATATACCATTTTTCTTTCCTTTATTCAGGTAGTGACTAAGACATTTCATGGAGCAGGTCTGGTTGTGCCTGTAGATAAAAATGATGTTGGATACAGAGAGCTCCCTGAAACAAATGGTAAACTGTTTTTTAGTTATATATATGTTTTAAAAAGGATCCTTGTTCAGATCCTTCTTCTGTTTTAGTCAAGTTGCACTCAAATACTTTTGCTGGCTGATGCAAAATCTAGACTGCATTTATACAAGGTAAGAGTATTAACAATATTGTGCGGAACAAAACAGCTCATCTTTTATTGTCATAACACTTGAATAGGTAGTTTTGGTTTGCATCAACATTTTGTTTTAATTGGGTGAAAACCACAGTCCAGTGAAATTCTGAAAACTATCCTGAAAAAAGCAATTGAAGCTGATTGCATTATAAACATATTGCTGAGGAAACAATTTACTTTTCATCTTATAATAAACAAGAGCAGATTTAAGTGCCATAAGACTTCACTCAACATGTATACTGAATCTTCAGGAGGCAGCACCTTGCGGTATTGCTCTAACTTCTGAGAATAACTGAAGTAACCCTGTTCCAGAGTCAGAGAGTTCTCAGCTGGTTCCACCTACAACTTCAAAACCACAGACACTTTTCCTGTAACCCCATATTCTAGGGTTCTTTATGCTGCTTGAGTGAAAAAGATCATTTTGCTTCCTATGGCCGAAGTTGGTACATACTTAATTCAGATGCAGTGAATGAGTTTACATTTTAAATAACATCAGTGTGTAATTTACCTTTTTTTCTTTCGTTCTTTCTTAATACAGCTAATCTTAAAAGAATTTGTAAGGCCATTGTGGATGCTCCTAGCGATGACCAGAGGCTGAAAGCCTTTGCGCCCATTCAGGAAATGATCACTTTTGTTCAGTTTGCTAATGATGAATGTGATTATGGAATGGGGTATGAACTGGGAATGGACCTCTTTTGCTATGGGTCACATGTAAGTACTAAAACATACACTTGAAGTTGTGTTTAGGAGTAGAACAGGAATTAATTTGGGGGGCTTTATTCTTGCCAAAAACCCTCAAGTTGACATTGGTTGCTATGTTACAGAACAAAGATACAATAGGCCCTCAGTTTGTAGTTGCCTAATGGCTTATTCATATTCAATGAGGCCATCTGGTGTTTAAAGTTGCTTGAAAGAGTATTCTTGCTGTCCAATATTACTAACTTAGCAAATATAGTACACACGACTTGGCTATATATAAAGTTATTGGCCAGTTAGGCACCTAAAGATGCAGATAGGTGGGATTTACAAAAGCACCTATATCTTCAGGCACCTGAATACCTTTGTAAATCTAGCCCATTATTAACATCAAAATTAGTATCTCTTCTAAATTATTTGACTTTTTTCTAGCCCTAAGGCAGTGGTGCCCACATTTGTGTGTGTGTGTCACCCCCCCTTACCAGTAATGGAATTGGGGTGGGGTAGGAGCTGGGGCAAGAGGCAGAGCTGGCCTGGGGATGGAGAAGGAATGAGGGTAGAGTTGCGCTGGGGCCAGAGCTGGGTTGGGGAGAACTCCCTCCCTGCCCCCATGGAGGCTGGCCCTGCTGTGCACCTTTTTCTCTCCTGCTTCCTCCCCCCTTCAAGCCCCCCCCAAACATTCCTTCCTGCCCCACAGTTTGGGGACCACTGCCCTAAGGGCTAGACTCTTATTTAAAAAAAAAAAAAGTAGTTTCTTTGTTCTGCATAATCTGCTGCCGTTTATTTCATAGACGGGCACTGAGAATTAGTAATAAGTCAAAAATTAAACTTCAGAAGAAAGAAGCTTCAGCTTAGGTATAAGCATGAAAGGGTGATGCATGACACACCTGGTTTTATTAACCACATAACCTATTTTGCCTACCAGATAGAATTTTCCTTAATAAAATGTAGAAAGCTACAGTTTAAGGGACACTACCCAGTTCCATTTTACTTCCAAGATACAAGCTTTGTAAAATAAAATGCTACGAACTAAGCTCAGAAGTTGTCCAGTTTAAAAGCTTCCTATTAGATTTTTTTAAAAAACCATCTGCTGCAGTGGGATTTTTTGCATCCAAATACTGATGGTACTGTGCTAATTGATTTGAAAGAAGTGAAAGTTACTAGTCTGTGCTTTGTCCAGAGAGATGCAGCAGTTAAATTGTAGGGGGAAAACAAAGTATTAAACATTAATATTAAATCAAATAGCGTTCTGACACTTTTTGACACCTACATTTACCAAAGTAACTTGACAATGTAGCATCTGTGAACCCTGGGTGTGTTCATCCTTTTAATCTGCAGTTCATTTGAGCCAGTCCAGGTGAAGCAGTTCAGCCACAGCAGGAGTTGGGTTTTTTTTTTACAATATATGGAAGGAGCAATGGGGTGCCAGTCGCCTCAACCAAGCTAGCGTGCAAAATAAAAACCCATGCACTACTTGGTATCTGATAAGACACCGAAAGCACTAGAGCCATTCAAAGTACATATTCATTTCCCAGACTCTGAAATGTTAAACTGATTTAGTATTGAGAGAAAAATCCACTTTCTACTATTTTATAAGGACTGATATTGCAGAACCTCATTCTCTCACTTGTAAAACAAATTTGTTAGGAGTGGGCAGAGAAATTTGAATGAAAGCATACCCCCCCCCCAACCCCCTTCTAAGTAAAGGACACTTTCCAGTTCAAACCTCAGTGATTATATGAGAACTTGGCTTTAACTATTGATCTATTGAATGTCTCTACATGGTTGTAAACGTTTTCACTTACTCTGTACCCAGTTATTCAAATATTATGTCCCTAGTTTCTAGTAGCTGTCACTATTGCATCAAGAGACAGGACAAGCACCAACACTAAACTCTCCATCCAGGGCTAACGAACATTGTTTTCTTGAAAATATATTTTCATTACTAAGACAAAGTCAGGTATCTTTGTAACCAGTACATGTTTACATACACATTTTAGTACAGTACCTTCATACATTGTTTAATTGTAAAATAGCTAATTGCTGTTGCTGCAGCCTTTACCGGACTCAGCAATTTTGTCTTCAGCTATATGCCATGGCAACAATTTTGCTGGTACAAGGTGGGCAACTGTGTTTTAGTCAGGTAGTGTAGCACTTGCACATTACTTACATACACTGAGTAATAAATTGCTACTTTAGTTAGATCTTTGTGATTTGTAAGTATTTCATAACTTGCAATATCTCTTGGAGGTAAGGGAAGGAAAGAAACTAACCAAAAAAACACCTTCCAGTCTAATATACTAGTTAACATGTCTTGAAAGACTAGTGCTGTTCTGCTACAGAATTATATTAGCTTGACTTTCAGATTCTGCATATACTTACACAGGTACTGACCGTGTTCTAGCATAAACATTGCTAGAGAATATCTAAAGTGCTTTTAAAATAGTGAACAGTTTTTCAGTCTTTCCATAATTTAACTTGCACATCCTTGCAAGGCTTCACATTATTTGTCTCTGTTAAATGCCATACACATATTCACTTAACAAAACTATAGTTTGCCAGGGCAACTGTTACTCCTGCAGGAATTCTGCACCACTGCACAATTTTGCAGAAATTGACATTTCATGCGCAGAATTTCCTTCCCCGCATAGAAATAGGCTGCAGTGCTGCTAGCTGCCACTAGGGTCCACTGGACCCAGTAGAGCCCAGCTTGCACATAAAGACATGGCTGGGGGGAGGGGAAAGGAGCTAGAGGGATCCTGGCAACTGCAGTTCCCAGCATGCCCTGAGGAGAAAGAGGACAGGGTACAGGAAACTGTGCAACCCTGGGGCTGAGGATCAGGCTGTTTCTCCCTCTGGATCCCTGGGCTGTTTTTGTCTGGGAAAGGAGGGGGCCCCCCACAGCTGGGCTCTGGGAGAAAGGGCGTGCAGGTATTGAGGCTGGAGGCCTCTTGGGGGGGAGGGGTTGTGTGTGTCTGGCCCCCTGGCTGGGCTGGTGAGGCGAGAAAGGGGACAGAGAAACAGGAACTGGGTTGTCATAGGAATTTTTGTCTCTCTATATTGTTACAGACTTATTTGCTGACAGGGATTTTGAAATGAATTACCAAAATAATTGAAACTGGCATGATTATATATATATATATAGTGTGTGTGTGTGTAGAATTTTTAGGGCAGAATGCCCCAAGGAGTAAACTGTGTTGAATTTGCTTTGTCCTTGCTAATGGAAAATATCTGTTCTTAATATAGATGTGACAAAACAAGTGCTGCTAAGTAAAAACTCAGATACCCCCTTTACTAGAGTGAAGTTACAACTGGATGACCAGAAATAACAATGCTTGTATACAATAGTGTGAAAAGCCATAGTTTGGATTTTGCCACTTCAATTATCCTCATGTACTTCAAATGTCACTTTGAACAGGGGTGGGGGTAAACAGGAGCAACCTTATCCATAGTTCCTTAGCTTCTATTAAATCCTGCCAGATCCAGAGGAAAGGTAGATGGCTCTCATTGTGTATGATGATCTTGAAGATGATAAATTAGGGGCTGTGTTCATAGTCAGAGGAGGTGATGATGATGATTGTTCGGTCTGCCAAACTACTTACTCACTCTCACTTTCCCCCCATCATTTTTGCAGTATTTTCACAAGGTTGTTGGTCAGCTGTTACCACTTGCATACAACCTGTTGAGGAGGAACCTCTTTGCTGAGATTGTTGAATCACATTTAGCTAACAGAAGTGAAGAGAATGTGGACCAACTAGCAGCATGATCTAAAGAGAAGAGGGCTTAAGTATAACTATTTCAAGTATTAGTGATGTTAAATTTTGTTTTTTGGCATTAAACTGATGTAGGGTTTTTCAATAGTAATATAAATAATGTTTGGGTGGGGTAAATAAAACTTTTTTTAAAATAAACTAAGCTAGCTTTCTTTATGTATCCAAAGTTAGAAATGCTGTTGTTTTCTATGCCAGAGCTAGAACAGCAGTTCCTAAACTTCACTCAAGCTTGCACTATGCTATGGGGAGCAAAAAAAGGTACCTGTGTCCAACCTAACTTGCCCATTAGATGGTGGTATAATCTACGTCTCATAATAGGGGGCTGTTTTCCATCATGTAACAAATGTTTTAATTGTTTCTTTCAAAACCATGTTGAATGTTTTGTGATGGTCTAAGAACACTATCTACAGCTTGTAACTTTTTTTTTTACTATACTTTAGTATTCATTTATTACCACCATCAGCAAGGGAGCTGGGTTTGTCCACTCAGTAGTAGTGTCATGCTATCCAAGAAGGTGCTACTGCTGTAAGTTTGTGGACAGAAGCAATTTGATTCTTCAGTCTGTGCAAAATTCCAGTATGAATGGATAGTTGCCCTAGTTACTGCACAGCCCAGAAAACCGTATACTCTTCTTCAAAGATCCAGCCCCTTTCCCACCTTTGGCTGAATGTTCCCCTATGCTGTCATTGATCCCTGGTTTCATCTGCTTCGCTCCTCCTTCAGCTGAGGGTGGTTTTAGGAAACAAGACTCAAAGGAGACCTATTGGAGATTTGCCATGGCACTGTGCTGGCTGTTATTGCCTCTTCTGAACACAGCACTTTTACTGCTCTAAAGTTAGGGAAACTTTAACACTGTGTCTCACTAAAGGGGTAGGTTAGCTGGCACTCAGTTAAGAAAGCTTGCTTTCTGATGGACTTGCTACAGCATGAGGGAGGAGTTGTTTCCCTTTGTAGAGCTGTGCCTGCTGGTGCCTCTGCCCTGGTGACGCTCAGCAGGGAAGGTGCTGAACTCACTCTAACCCCACCCTGTGAAACTCATTTTAGTAGCAAGACTTAGTGCTATTTTATTTTGCACCTTTTCTACTCCTGCATAAAGTCAGACATTCATCCAGTATCTAGTGCTGAACCATCCATTTCAACAGAAATTCTGTTAGTGAGGGTTTAGAAAGCCATTTCTCAAATACAGCCACCAAGGGGTTTCCCTGCACTGTGTGTGTGTGTGGGGGGAGAGGAGCATCATCCCCTCCCTTCCTCCCTGTTGTTCCTGCATGCACCACCTCTCTGGAGACACAGGTGGGACACAACACTTAAGGAGCAAGGAGGTGAGCTGGCAGGAGAGGGGCTGGCTGTGAGTGAGGAGGAGAGTGGTGCAGGAGCCCTGGCAGTGGAGTAAAGGAGGTGGGCAGGGGAGGGTCCTTGGCCAAAGAGTAAGGCAGCAGGCAGTGTGGAGGGTTGGGGGTCTGGCTGCAAGCAGGGGAGTGAGGGGGTGAGCCACCAGCAAGCAGGGGTTACCCTGGTGCCTGCCATGAGATCTATGGCAGGGGAGTGAGGAGACAAATGAGCAGCAGGTGGAGGACTGTAGAGGGACCCAGGAGACAAGCGAGGAGGTGAGTGGCAGGCACATGGGCAGAGCCCCTCTTTGGGGAGGCTAGCCCCCACCTCCATTCCCCCCCTGAGATCCCCTGCTCAGAGAAGCCCCAAATGCACCCCACACACACACCCCTGCCCAGAGGAGCCCCAGGCTGGCTGAACCCCAGAGTGCTGCCCCCCACCCCCCTCAATCCAGAGGAGCCACAGGCCTCCCTTCCATAGACCCAAGCTACCCCAATGTTTTTCATTATTATCTGAACTTCTATTATGTCAAAGCATTTAATTTACTTCAGAACTGTTATACAGACAACCCTTTTTACCAAAAAAAGCTAAATAAAAAATGAAGACAAGAACATGCAAAGCACCTTATTTGTGTTTCTATGCTGTTAGGTCCAGTCAAGAACAGAGGTAACTGTGCATGATTTTTATTGAGTCTGCAAAAAAAACCCACACCTCACATACATAAATTACAATGATTTGTATGTATATATGTGCATATTACTTTTAACTTTAGGAAAGTGTCAGTGGAAAAAGAGTGGGTGGCTGCACTCTGAAGCCACCAAAAATTTTATTGTGAGAACCCCTGCTTTTTACAATTCTAAGGAATGGTATTTATCAGTAATATTTCTTTTCCTTTGAAATATCCAAGGCAAATGTCTAGCCCTTTCTTCTGTGAAATATATAGTTCCACCCACTCATTTCTTCCAAAACCCTGTGATCTGCTAACAGCACATGTACAGTATGGTTACCACAGTACAAATGCAAGGTGGTCGTCTTTTCCCAGTAACTGGACTGAGTAACCCTAGAGAGAGACAGGTACCAATCAGTGATGAGCTGCCAGAAGCTGAAGAACCAGTTCCTTTAGTTGCTCCGTGCCTTTGGCGGCACGTCCTTCACTCACTCCGGGTCTTCAGGGGCACTGAAAGACGTGCTGCCGAAGACACACTGGGTGAGTAAAAATTCTTCAGGGGAGCCTCCCCAGCCAAGAGCTCATGCAGGATGGGAGCTTAGCGGGAACAGCCATCCCTTTAACAACCGGTTCTATACCCGCTTCAAAATTTAACAACTGGTTCATGCGAACCGGCTCTAGCTCACCACTGGTACCAATCTAGCAATCAGAGCCACTTCTGTGGATCCTCACTTAATTGACTCTGCATGTGCACAAATGTGATTAGAATCTTCTAAACTGATGCTTATATAGTAGCGTTCCACTACTGTGAATAAGCTGAAACCTTTTAAAAACAAACAAGTACAAGAATAATTATTTGTTTGAATCTACAGTATTTGGCCATTGCACCAGAGAAAGCACTAGTTTACCAGTAAACTCTATTTCAAACACACTGCTGGGGTCAATGCTGAAGCCACATTACACCTTTAGTAAAGAAGTAGACCCAGTTTTCCAAAACCTATTATAATGCTCTACTTAGTTAAGTTAGAGAATTAACTTAACTACCTTGTCATTTTCAAATAAGCTTTGACAAAAGATCAGTCACATTTCAGACTATTGCAATGGATACTTGGAATCTTTCTCCAGTTTATATATTTTCCCCCAATTTAAAATCTCACAAGCAAATGGTATTTCTACAAGTCTATTCTGAACTCTATGCCATCACAGGGTGAATGAAGGCTCGGACAGTGCTACCTTAATGAATTAAACAAAGACTGACAACTCTTCTGAAAAAAAAAAAAATCTTTTGTTTTTACATCATTTTGTTTCCTCTTTTAGAAACATTATTTAAGGCTTCATTCATTATGCTCTGCTCAGCTGCCACCAGCTTACTGTCTGCATGTTCAGATAGCCCTAATGTAATTTATGTAAGGTATAGTCTCCTCTTTAAAAGTGACAATTCTTCAACAAAAAACCTTCAAAAACAGACTCCAATGAGAAACTGCTGAATTGGAATTAATTTGAAAACTGGACACCATTAGATTAGGCTTGAATAAAGACTGGGAGTGGATGTGTCATTTCCCCATGTTGATTCCCCCCCTCCCCCCACTGGTCCTCACATGTTCTTGTCAACTGCTGGAAATGGCCCACCTTTATTATCACTACAAAAGGGTTTGTTTGTTTGTTTTTTCTTCTCTCCTGCTAGTAACAGCTCACCTTACCTGATCGCTCTTGTTACAGTGTGTATGGTAACACCCATTGTTTCATGTTCTCTGTGTATATAAAATCTCCCCACTGTATTTTCCACTGCATGCATCCGATGAAGTGGGCTGTAGCTCACGAAAGCTTATGCTCAAATAAATTTGTTAGTCTTTAAGGTGCCACAAGTCCTCCTCCTCTCTCTCATGGTAACTAATTGACATTTCACTTGAACTGTACTGCATGTGTCCCACTGGATTTCTCTCCTTTGAAAAAGTCATACACACAGGAAAGAGTGATCATCAAATTTCAATAGCTTTTAATTTTGCTTTAGTAGGAAGGTGTAGCATATCTTTCTTCTGGGCAAGGTGGAATAGCACTAAAATCTCTCAGGGACATTACAAGATATCAGCGTACTTATGTACTTGGCCACAAATATGTTGTTGTGCAGCTAACCTGTCTGCTGTTTTGCATTCACTTTAGGGGTGCACTAACTATTATACTGTTAAATTAGTTAAAACAAACTAACAGCACCTTCTTACTCAACGGACCTACTCTCCATACAAAGTCAGTGTCATACAACAACTTGTGACTAAAATAAGTTTGTACTCTTCTTACCTGTGTCAAGCCAATGCAGCTATGAGGGAGTGAGCAGGATCCTAGAGCACATCATTGATAGAATCTGTAATTAGAAAATTACTTATTACCATGATAATGTGTAAGCCAGCAAAAGCATCTCAACTTTCAGATTGCAAGATGAGTTTTCTGCACTAGGAAATGTAAACTGCTTCCTTCCTAAAAGTGAAAGAATTTTATATAGAAATCATTAAGAGTGAACATGGATCATCATTTTTTTATGGTCACTTGTCAACATATAAATATACATTTTAAATATTCATGTGTATGTAAATGTTCAGGGCTTCTGCAAGGGGTCAGAATTGTTCATTTTGTGCACACACAGTAGATGTAAGACAGGAAGACTTTGACTGACTTTTCAGAAAGGTACATTTCAGGCTCCAATTCTGAAAGAGATTTACTCAGATGCTTAACTTTACATGCTGTTCAGTGGGACTACACTGTGTGTAAAATTAAGCATGTGCTTAAGTCTTTGCAGGAGTGGGCCTTAATATACATTTTCCTGTTTTCTTTATGGTAAAATTCATTAATAGCCCTAAATGTTTGCTCTACAATAAAGTATATTGACAAAAGCTTTGCTCCCAAGAGGAATAAGAAACATCTATAAAGTTGAACTGATAAATTAAAATTTGAAGAAAAGTAATAGTTGGTTAGCATGGCTGAATAGCAGATGCCCCAGTTTCTGCCACATGATGAATACTGTAACTAATGTGGTTTAAAAGTGAAGTATTGAAACTGCAGTTATTTAAATACAGAATTGTGGCTTTAAGCTATCAGTTAAAATTAGATGGTTGCATTGTAAAGCAACAATCAGGAACCAAAACAT